TTGTATCTCCTCATTCGTGCAGCAATTTGGAAGACTCTACCCGTGTCTCACATTGTACGAATATTCCATGTACCTAAATAAATGGTCGCTCTGGTTGTCAGAAGGGGCATTGGCCTCGTAACTTCCGAAGGAATTCGGCTTTGATCATGAGGCGTCGTAGTTCTTCTAAATGAAAACCTTCTGACCCCCGGGTAGGGGTCAAAAGGTTTGAATAATTTTTTCTGGTTAGCGTTTTTTTTAGTGAGTTAGTTTTTTACGGGATGGGGTCGCCAACCCCACGCCTAACTTTCCTCCTTTATCTGGGCCCGGGATTGGCAGTAGCCCCAGTAGCCGTTCATAAGTAGTATATAACTATGGTCAGATACGAAATGTGATTCAGCGGAAGATTGAGAGGGGAAGAACGGGATCAAAAAACAGTTATGATTAAATGCCTGGACAATGAAATTCGAGACAATGGACTGATATTTGCAAAAAGAACGGTTAAGTTTGAGACAATTGAGTGATATTTTGCAAACAAAAGATTACCTGTATGTTTGTCAGGTTTTAGTGAGATTTTCTATAATTTAGTGTTCAAATACATTCAGTTGTCCACACTCGTGCTTTTGTTCACTACAGCATTATTTCTCGATCATACAATCCTTGAATCCAAATATGCGGTAACTGAGAATATTTACTTTGAAGATTTACCAAGTAATGTAGGTCGGAATTAGTGGATGCGGGTAAGCTGATCGGTCTGGTGTGGTTCTGTCATTCTGGTGTGGTCACTACTATGTAACCCTCTTGCTTTTCGCATTTCCAGCACTTTACAGAAGTCCTTTGGGGAATAGGTTTATTATTCCTGATACACAACTAAATAAACTGAAAACAGTCTAACAAACTGGAACAACATTTACTTTTTGTGACTAAACTATTGGAATGGGATGCAAATAAAAAAGAGTGAAACTTAAGAGAAGGATAATAGTTGACAACAATCCAGATTAAAAAGAAAACAAAAGGTTAAGGGCTTCGGTGTTTAGACGAAAGTTTGTGTAGTATGTCGACGGGCGATAATCAACAAAGACTGCAGCTCAACTAGGAATTTTTCATCAAACATCATGGTCTTTGACATCGTGTAAGGTTAACCCGGAGCACTTGATTTCGTCGCGCGAATCACAGAAAGATACCATGACGTATGCGACTGAAATGGGCTTTGCTAAATATCCAGCTAGCAACAACATTCTATTTGCAACAATATAACAACCGAACTGTTATTAAGTCCCATTCAACGTCGTCTAAATTAAACTAGCAGCGAGACTACCTGACTTGAGTCGTTTGGCACGGGAGCTACCAAGTGATATTATTCACTCATAGCATACATAAATCCGTTCATTTAGCCACTTGCTTTCACGATATCAAACCAGCATGTCAAATTGAGACCATAACTGTGACTGATAAGTAGTAAACTGTTGCTCCATGTAGTGACATATACTCACCGATGTATGTAATGGAAATTATGTCCTGCAATATATCTCCAGGTTGTTATATTTTGTTGTAGTTTGAATTCTGGAAATCAGAACACAATATTTACTAAAATTAATGAGTCTTATGTAGTTGGGTGAAACAAACACCCCGATCCACTGAGAGCAAATAACTACATACGTGTTTTCTATGTTTGCTAAACTTCCTTTTTAATACATATAAGGTGGGAATAAACCAGAAAAATAATCATGCCAACATTAGCAAAGTCAAGTCTTTTAACTAATGTTACTAGAAATGGTAGCATAACACCCAATAATAATAACAGCGCCGCTTTTAAGTGATAAACAAACTAATTCTTTTAACAAAAGCTTAAAAGTTATAAGTGAACTAAACACAACATAATGGGAAACGAATGTTCTAATCAAGTTCGATAAGTAACTGTATAAACACAGCACACGTAAACACATTTGAATAATTTAAAACACAAACAACGCTTGCAAAACTGCAATCGAAATGGCCCTGGTCGGCCATTCGGGCATGGTCACTGTTCAACTTATTACTTTTTATGTTGAGTATATTATTCTATCCCTAGTCCAAACATGTCCTGTAGAAGTGCTAGACGCCATTTTGGTGATTGTCACGATATGACGAGTCAGTTTAAACAGCGGTTTGACTTCCACGTAAGATCTTGTAGATTTGGTAGTTACATCGAGACAAATCGACAATGTTGTAATTAGGTCTACTATTCAAATGTTGAAGATGAATGTACTAATACCGAACTAAACCATAATCCTAAATACTAATGTCCAGAGGGTAAATGGGTATTGGACACAACCGTACATAACTAGCAGTTTTACTCCTGATTATTGATTCACAATGAGTCTTCCGTTTGCTTGAGAAACTCATAATAGGATCTGGATGTCGTCTCTTAACTTGGCGGAAAATCTCAGTGTAGAAAACTGCTGTCATATGTTTGATTGTTACCAAAGACTGATCTCCAGCGAAATGTAATTAATTCTTGTATGCTACCGCACTTTGATTTCCGGGAGAATTGTTTTCACTAGCATATGCGGAACCAACTTAACAGGGGAAAAGGCTAGCATCTGCAAAGTGATTAAAGAGGACCTCTTAAACTTGGCCTTACTTACCCGACGTTTGATTCATCCGAACCCAATATATAGTGCACAATTTGTTCACGTCACTGTCGCTCAAGCGGCCGCCACCAAATTTCATTAAATCAAACCATGAGGTGCTATAAAAATCTTCGTTCGAACTTCTATTTCAAGAGTACGAACATTACCGACTTCACTTTTAGCCTACGGTTGAAGTTCACAGAACACCTGTGTGGTTAAGGAAATAATTTCAGTCAAACACCTTTACAAGTCAACTTTTAACAAGCAACAAAGTAAATCCTTGGTAGTTACATTGTAAAATAACCAGTTTTCGGTAAATTTTATCCTAACTTGTTATGTCCTTTTCCATACTGACCATTAATACTTGCCCAATCACCGATCAGAATCCTACTACTGATTTGGTCTATTACTTAATATAAAGTTTAGTGTTTGTGTCTTAGACAATCACACGCTTGACCAGTACTATTGACCCTGAGCCAGCAGCCGAGTTCCTATCTTTCGACCATTCGCAAGCTCCTCCATATTGCCAGCCCTCAGTCTAAAAGTCAGAATCCAGTTCCTACTATATTTGTATTTCAAACATATATGATTGTATACAGATATACCGAAGCGCATGACTCCATGAAATAAAAATAACAATTATACATGGGCAAGTCAAAAATGTGTGTGAATATGGAAGACTGTAAGTCGTCGACTAGAAACAAACTATAGACATTAAATCGTATAAACATAGTTCATGGGTTGACTGGAAGATGAAATGCAGAAACCCGACGAAATCTCAGGGAATCATTACTGTTAATCATCAAGTGTGGTTCGTGATGTGCTTGGTATCTAAATGATGCTCATACTGCTCCTCTTTAGATAGGCCTTTGTCATTTTTTCAAAGGTATTTATCTGGCCATCTAGGTTCATGAAGTTTGCCGAGAAGCTTAGCATATGTTGTACATTATATTGTAGCCTTAAGAATCACATATGCTCCATGACACTTTCGCCGAACTTGTATCAACTAAATATGCCATTGTTTGTACTTCAGCAGTAAAAATGTTTCTTGTCGGCCAAGTCACATATGGTCAGATGTTCTTCTGAATGTCAACGAAGTTGTTTGTGAAGAATAGTCGGATACCGCAGTTTGGTTCTTTCATCACAATGTTTCCAAAGTCAACGAAAAGATAAAATTTCGTTTGAAAACTATACTTGGATAAACAGCATACATATAGTGACGTGTGACTCCTATAATGATCAGTTAGACTATATATATTCCACGGAAGGTTGAAAGCTTTACGGTGTTGATGTTTGATAAAGTCTCGAGGGTGTCTGTAGTGAAACTAAAATGGTCATTATCAGTGTTGAATACCTTGAAAGTAATTTATTTCATGGGATTTTTCACTTCAATAGTTGTGACCTGATTGAAGGAAGTGTAATCGAGAACTAGGGGTGAATTTAGAAGCAAAGTATATTATTTAAGAGATAATCAGCAAACTAAATGTACTGACACCAGGAAAATAACACTACAGTCTAGAAAAGTGTTTCGAACCAATATTTAGAAAATTGTCTCTCTGTGGATTCATCATTAGGATGACCTGGATTACTAAGTATGATGCAGTCACATTAAGATAGTTTACTGTATTTCCCTAACTTAGTGGAACGGTCTCAGTTGGCCCAAACAATTACTGTACAATCTAGGAATCCCAGAAATACTGCGATTTAACCAAGAAGTATTAGATGAACACGAACAGACGTAATTGTATTTGGAATTGAAATCAAGCAGTCAACAAGCACAAAGAGATAATTGGTTCATAAAAACAACACAGTAACGCCTTTCGTTTCACAGAACTTCCACAACAAATTTTAAGTATGAAGCTGGTAGCCCCAGCTGAAATTGTAAAATTAAGTTGGTTTCATTCCGTTTTTAATTGTTATCGATCGCTTTCATTTTTATGTTTGGGTGAGCTCTAAATACATACTTTGTCATCGGCTCGCTTTTTCTCTTGTTCTTCTCTACTTCAGTTCTCTTCGCTCACACTCATTTAACACTCAAAGTACCTTCTAGTTCAACGGGAACCATTACACCAACCGACCCTGAAAAGGACATATTTCCGCTTTGTATACGTCGAAAACTCTGACTATACAATTTTGTTTTGATAAGTGGTGTAAAATAACAATATTTTCAGGGCTACAAAACAGAAATAATTCTTCGTACAGTATAGTGTTGAGTGTTTTAATGCATCAACTGCGAATGGGTGCTCCATCGACTGGGGCTCTACCTGTAACTTATCAGCTGTGTTGTTTGTTATTATTCTAGTGCAATTAGCCCATGTTTGGTAACCGATTCTACATGATTTCACCAAATTTCCTCTGCTTCTGGGGTATTTGTTTTTGACTATCGTCGTATACACCTGACAAACAAGTATGGGAGAAGTACCTGAAAAGTCAGATAAGGATGTGAAATCGCTTCCACAATGCAATAGGCGGAGACAAGGTAGTGGATTTTTTTTAGTATTTTGAATACAATAGAAATCATCCACTTAAAAGTCTTGGTGCCATCGGTAGCAGTCGGCGCTATTATTGGCAAAGGAGGAGAGTCCATTGCAAAGATACAGAAAGAAACTGGCGCAAGGATTAAATTATCGAAAGTAAATGATTTGTATCCCGGTGAGTCCCTCCAACTTTTTAACTGGTATAGTTCGACAGGTGTCTTAGTGTTTGTGATGATTTTTCAGATGAACTTTCCCAACCTCCCTATTTTGGGGGAATGTTGAAGAATTTCCCCAGATCTGGGCGAATTTCTGGGCTTTTGTACCCTTTCCCCATAATCTCCACAAAAGTTCCTATGGCGGCTTCCCCAAAATAGGGAGATTGGGTTGTCATTCGACCACTGTGTGACAATAATTCCTTATTAGATTAGTTCCTGTCTTATGGTATTATGTGTGCTTCATGTCCACAGGCTGTTCCACATCTCATCACTGATAAATTAGTACAGATATGTATGGACATAGTAGTAAAATGGGTTTTATAAATTCCTGGGCTATATACAGCTCATTAATGGTGCGTAAACGTAGTTGTAGGAGGCAAATTGTACAGTTTCCGGATCATTATGGGCTCTGCATATGCAAATCTCTCGAGCATTTTGTGCCTTTATTGATGTTTCAAGCCATCTTGGCCATATGGATCCTTTGCGTTTTCACATTACTCTGACCGATTAAAGTATATTTCCTTTTGAAATATTATTTTGTGCTGAGTCACAACCTATTTCGTTTGTGCTTACCGTCTAGGTTTTGGCTATTGTAAACATTATTATGACCAATAAAACTACTTCTAGTTTTGCCTCATGTATTGGTTGTAAATAATGATCCTCTGTTTCCTATTTAATCAGATAAAGTAAAATACAGGCACAGAAACTTCACTTGAATTCAATAATGTTTGTTTTCATTTTCTAAATAAACCACAAATTTTAAGTAAGCAAAGCTTCAGGCTGGGGTTCCTTATTACTTTGTGGAGTGTCCCATGTTCATTTGTAGACGGATTCGGAAAACGCAATCATTGGTTAAAAGTCATCTTAATTAAACTTGAGTAATATTTCCTCGAGTTTTTCGGTATACTAGTTTCACTACTCACATTCTACTTGTCTTAGACACTATTGGAATATTCGGGTTACTCCCTAATCTGGCACAAATATGCATCTTCGGTTGCCACATTGTAATGACCAAAGGAAAAGTAGAATGTGTAACACATGAAGCACCATCTCTGGTTATTGAAGAGAAGTGTTTCTCCTTGTTTGTAGGGAAATCACCAAGCTGATACTTCAAAATGTACTCTTTTCAGACAAGTCCTGTTCTTTAGATGAATTCGGGGGCATGAAGAGGAAATTGTTTAGTCGAAAGGGGTGGATATGGTAAGCCATATTTTTGTAAAGTAGGTGCAAAACGATAAACAGTGGTACCTAAGAGTCTTTTGTCGATCAACTTCTACTTTCCCTAAAGTAAGCGTCAAGTTAGAGTAATTCTTCCTCAATTTTCGTAAACAAGTAAGTTTAATCCTTCCTAATTCCGAGTCAGTTCAATCAAAAATGCACTGGTACTATATTTTTAAGATGGATTCAGTAGTGTTTTTAAAAATTGCACGAAGTATCAGAAAACATCTAACATGCCGTCAAGTTCTATACATTATGGTGGATTTATGAACTTCAGAGCGTACTGTTACCGATAGACTTTAAAATAACTTATTATACCGGTGGAAATTGTAATAAGCAATCATGTTGATAGAAAGATGCTTGGTATGGATAGTTTTCTGAATAGATCTAGTATTTCGCTACTTAAATGTAATATATGTATCACTAAAGGGTAATCCGTAACGATATTTTATTTACTCAACTTGTCGCATCCTTTACCAAACGGGTTTTTTAAATGCTAGTGATGGCATTCTGCCCCCCCCCTCAGCTTATGGTCTGACTCATATGTTTCGCTAGACCATAGTTTTTTAATGTAATAATTATTTAGATGAAACGTCCCTCAAATAAGTTAAATCTCGGAAAGCCCATGATACCATTCTAGTTGGCTTGTTCTGCTTAACTCAATTATTAGTATGAGTATAATGATTAAGGTCGCATTTGTAAATGAATATGTCTTTATATGTTTGAGTTTACAAACCATAAGATTGTCAGTTTTATAGCGACTCCAAGGCTGATAAAATTGTTTCAAGTAAAACATCTATCGAGTTATTCTAGTCTCTTTTTATGTTTATACATCCATTACAAACCCAGTGCTTCGGATTTCCATAGTTACTGAAATACTTAAGCAATGCAGTGCTAAGTAAGTTTTAATTGGTCGTGAAATCTTGATTATAGTGTTGCTATTTTCCACCAACAATCGAAATTATTAAGTCTAGAAACTCCTCTAGAGCAAACGTTTTAAATCCATATTTTTTTCTAACAAAAATCTTGTTTTTAAACTTTAAGTCAAAATCTGATGACGAGTATACTTAATAGTTCTTGGGAAATGCTAAGCGCAAATTGTCGAAAAGTAAGTGCTGTAGACGATGAAACGACACATACTGTTTCAGTGATCTCTAGCAAAAAATTCTTACAGTATCTTTGTTTTAGAGTCTCAGATGGACACATATAAGCGACTAACGGTTTGGCTTACTGAATTAAGTGGCTGAAATAGCTCACTTTTTTTACGACTAGCTAGTCAGGCAATCCATGATATGGAACGTATTTGGTCTAGATGATTGACTATAAAGAGATGAATATTTGTTTTAATTTATGTTGAATTGAGTAGTATTATTTGTGCTTGCGGTAGAATATATTTTAACATCCAACTTTTAGGGACTGAAGAAAGAGTTTGTCTGATTCAAGGGACCTTAGAGGGTGTAACCCGCATGCACAATTACATTATGGATCGTGTTCTGGAAAAACCAGAATGTTCTGGTACTGCTGCATCATGTGTCACCACTAATACTATTTCAACTTCGCGTTCTGAAAATGTTGGTATCAGTTCTGCTACTCAGGGTGACTCGAGTAGCAATATGCCACACTTGCAGAAGGGGTCCACTTGGTCTCATAGCTTAGAACTCTCAGGCAGTCGTTTACCATGGGGTCGACATAAACAGGCAAGTTCATTTCTTCTTATTTTTGAATGTGTTTAGCTTTATCCTAGTCTTACCACTCACTGTTGCCTTTTCATAGTCTTCAATGTGTTACTGTTACTGTTTGGAAGTATCACTATCAAACAATATTGACTTCCAAATTGTGTATCGTGAAGCTAATATGTCAATTTTATTTGCATAGTGTTATTTCAGATTGGACCTGAAAGTGCCTTAGAAATCCTTATATACTTTCCACAGTTCTGTTTTCACTTGTAGTATTCCCCGATCGTGGCGGATGCCTTGGCGCGATGGCCAAGGAGTCGAGTTAGTTTGGTTCAAACGATTGTTCTTAATTTGCCCTAACATGTCAGACAGTTTGATTACATTGTGATTAAATCAAAAGCCTCGAGTTAAGTTTTTGGAGGACTAATTCGTATTGCTGACTGTAAGGTTTGAATAGTAAGGAAATGATGCAACATAAGCCACTCACAAAGTTAAAACCGATTTTAAGCATAAACTGAAATATTGTTTGACCTGGTGACCACGGACAATGATAAGCACAAAAACCATGTATCTTTCAATGATATTTATTGACAGTCGTTAGGAGACTGTCGATCTTGGACTTCGACTATCCTCTAATGCAACCACGTGTTTTCTAAGTCATATTCGATTATCTTCAGGCCTATCCACTTTCCTGATTTTTCTTAGTTGTGTTTTCAGAAATGACAAACTTTTCGTCTGTTGGCTTATGGTGTGAAGATGACACAGTTTTGCTTGATGGTGACTGTCTAAATACAGCATTATAAATGCTTTGAGTAGCAGCAAAAAATTGAGATGCATTTCTCTAACTGTAAACTCAAGGTAATGCTTTAGGATCTGCATTAATTTCTAGTTTAAAAGGGGGGTTCAGTTAATAATGGTGCAAGCGTATATTGACTAAGGTGGTTGAGACACAAGTAACGTATGTTTGACCATCACCTCGAAGCGTAATGCCCGTTGACACGCGAGTAGCTAGAGTTTCCCGTCAACTACCTCCAACCACAACTTTATTGATAGAATCTGATCAGCACTACGAAGTGCTTAACATACATGACATTAGTCTGTACTTGGCGATTAACGAGTTTTAAATACTTCTGAGTCCTACAAGAGATCAATCGTATCCTATATAGCTCAGTGGCAGTATCTGACTGTGAATTTGGGTGACACGGGGTCAAACCTCCCAGGGACCACCACTCCGCTCAATATTACAGGTAAACCTCGCTGAAGAGTACCAGACAACACGAAACTTAGGCTCAGGATTTCTTGTGGATTATCTTCAATCACCGGATTCCATGCTAGTAGCTTTCAAAATGGCTTATAATGGGCAGATTACTGTAGTAGTCCATTAATTTATTGACTTTCAGTCTGTGGCATGTCGGTGGACACATAATTTTTGATTAAAAGATGTTTTATTGCAGTAATTTGTAATAAAAAGTTTACAGAGAGACACTAATTTTCCTCCTGAATTTAAGTTTAGTGTTATTTCATGTTTTACATCCTTCAGTCTCATTGTTTTGCATCATTAACGCATGAAAAATGTGTCTCACGACTGTGTACCTAAATCAATACTTCGCAGATTAGTTGCATGTTCATCTGATTAATTTACAAAACTACTTCATTTATTCGCTAGTTTTACATGTGTCTTCTTCACATTAGCACATTTTCATCCATACACCATCATATATATATCCCCTGTGAAATTAATTTTTAACCCTTTTTCAATTATTTTCGGTTGAAGGTTAAGATCTTGGTTCCAAACTGTACTGCGGGTCTTGTAATTGGGAAATTGGGTAGTTATGTCCGAGAGATAAAGGACAGAACGGGGGCCTTTATACAGATTTCACAGAAGTCTGTTGAAATCAATTTATTGGAGCGCTGTATAACTATTGCAGGTGAGGAGCGCTTGTTTGTTTCAGATATTCATATCATATACTTCTTTCATCTTGGTTTTTAATTTAATCTACGTTGTATGATTTAAAATTATGTTTACTCAGTGTAATTTTTATACTACACTTCATTTGTACGCTACATTTCAGTTGTTTTCTCTCAGTAAATTTACTTCGTTCAAAATTATTTCCATTTCTTTTTTATCAAACATACTTCAGTTGCTGTTCATTTTATTTCATTGTAGGTGAACCAGAGCAGTGTCGTGCAGCTGTAGATTTAGTTTTAGCCAAAATAGCCGAGGACCCCCAATCAGCCATCTACCCTGCCATTTCTTACTCACATGTACGTGGTCCTGTAGCGAGCGCTTATCCAACTGGATCTCCTTTTGCAATTATGCCATCTGTTCGATTCGATACAAGCCAAGGTTCACACTTACGCTTACCTCCTGGTCGTGGTGCTTCTTGTGGTAACATCGAAGGATGGGATGATAACGTACCAAGTGGTGTTGGTTTTTCAGCCGTTGCTAATCCTTTTGGATCGTCTCTTTTCCATGCTGCGTTACTCCAGGTCCAAGCCGCGGCTCTGGCGGCAAATTTAAATACCACCGGTTACTACCCAACTCTGCCATCTGTGGATATGGCTCCAACTAATATGCCCACCTTGTTTACTCATGGACTATCTACAAATATTGGGTACGTACCACCTGAAGATGCCACTGTACTACCGCCAGCTTTGCCAGACTATGGGCAAGGATTCTGTCCAGCTACACCTACTGGTAATGTTCCTCTATTAGGTAGTGGAGGGGGTGCAAGTGGAGGCGGTTCTAATACCGGCGGAGGGAGTGGCGGACACGGAAGCACTTTATTGCAAGAGAGTATTTGGCCCATTGGTGATTCTCAAATTCAGACACCCACATGTTTTGATGCAGCTTATCCGGGACCCTTAAATTTCGGTTGGTTTCTTTAAACTACTTTGATCAGTTTGTCATTTAACAGGGAACAGTCATTAGAGATTATCGGTTGGGGCCCTATAACCACTTTTCCTTTGATAAGAATTATGTTTCACTGTCAGTAACTAAGTTTGTGAAAACTCCATTCCTGTATGCACGAATCGCTTTTATGAAGCATTCTGTATTAGTGTTAGTTGTCTAAAACTGGAGGTCACCGGGAATGCAATTCTATCAAGACAAGAGCTTACCATACATTTGGTAATGATCGGTATGAATTTGCTGCCGTTGTTAGTATTTATATGAGTAAAGAGTCCATATGATACGTCTATTTTAAAACGTGTTATACAATTCGAAAATTTTGCTGCTGCGTAATTTATCTCGATATTCATTTCAAATCTCTAGCACATATTTTTTCTCGTAGATTTTACTCTCCGGATTTACAATCATATTTCACGCGGGTCATCCAGAGGGTCTTCACATATAGATATTATCATTATTATCTGGTCACGACATTTAATACTCCATTTACAATTTGGAGTAGTCCATTTATTTTTCGCTAACGTTAGGGTATGCTCCTTCTTATGTTGTATCTCAACTATTATCAAAAGTTTTCAATATCACAATATCTCGTTTCTCAATTAAGACCTATATGTTGTACAGGTATTGGTTGGATAAGTACACCATTATTATCGAAGTTTTTAGATTCAATATACTATGACAAATAATTTATTCATGCAATGTGTCTAACAGAATGGTAATTAGTATCGTAATTATGTATATTTAAAGCAAAACAACAGTAGATCTTAACACATAGTTTCGCGGATTAAGAAGGAAATTCAGTGTTTGGTTTTTGGTAACATGGCAGATTTAGACTTATAAGTACTTGTGCTACTAAACGATGCTCCAGGCCTTTTGTGTTTATGAATATCCTTGTATCTGTTTAGGAAAATTTCCTTAAGATGCAAATTATTAGACGATTGCTCAATTGCAGAACAGTACTAATTTCTGGGAGCCACGCATCCACAAGAAAACCTGGTTTTCCTATCAACGGTTTGGATTTAATGATAAATTTTCTGACGTACTTTGTTTAAAAATCCCCATACAATATATTCAAAAATGAAGAATAGTTAAGCGAACAATTGTTTTCACTAACTTCATCAGGCTCTACAGTTAAGTCTATAATTATAATATTTTACAAAGGCCAAAAAATAAGGCATGTATTAATTAATTTGACAATGTTATGTATTAAAAATGGTAAATGTTTGCATTTGTTACGATATATATACTTCAAAGTTGTATTATTTGCAAATTAGAAAGGTCATAATGATTTACAGTAAAGTGTCCAGTCACAATAAGTAGGATAGTATTATAGCAAAAATGAAAATGCAAAAAAAATTGTGAATAAAATGCATAGTAGGAGAATTTAATCTTGTCAATTGAGATAATAATAATTGTGTTGTGTGAATATGATTTGTAATAAGGGCAGTGTTATCAAGTTAATTATGATAAACGAATTGGGAATGATGGATGTGAAGATAAAGATAGAGGTAATGAAAAAGTATTGAATGACCTTTCTAATTTGCAAATAATACAACTTTGAAGTATATATATCGTAACAAATGCAAACGTTCACCATTTTTAACACATATCATTGTCAAATTCATTAATACATGCCTTATTTTTTGGCCTTTGTAAAATGTTATAATTATGGACTTATAACTGTAGAGCCTGATGAAGTTATTGAAAACAATTGTTCTCTCAAATATTCTTCATTTTTGAGTACTTCCTTTTTATGAATATTTAGTAGTACTGTGAACATTTCACGATTGAGTGCAATTGTCCCTTGTTATATGGAATGGGAAATAGGTAGTCTCACTAAACACTTGAGATCAGACATGTAACATTTACTAATCATGTACATCTTACATATTTTGGTCCTTCACGTTAAAAAACTTAAATGTAAGTTTTTCTCCTGAAAATAAATTATTTTGTTCGCAAGTATATTTTCGAAATGCAATGTGGTAATCCATATGGACCTTTATTAATTAAATGTCTGTCAGGCCTTCAGAAAATTCTCATGATGTAATGATCTCAGCTTAGTGACATCCATTGTTTTAGACTCAAATAATAATAAACTTAGTACTCTTCGATCTACGTGGCGATCGTTAAACTGCAATTTTGATATACAGCTTTATTTGAAACGCATTTATTTCTTAGTCTTGTGTTTAGTCAGTCCAGTCTAAAATGTGGACACCATAATTTCAAACCGGGTAGTTTAAGGTGATGCTAGCAACAAACACATGGTAGATTTGTATATTAAGCTCTTGGTTTCTCAATCACGAAATACTGTCTAGCTTTCCAAACCGAAGTAGACTGGGTAGTTCTTACCAGCCACATTGTGGTTGATAACAGAGAACTTTAACCACAAAACTTCACCAAGAATTAGTACCCGTAAGCAATCATTACATGGCGACGAAAACGTGTCGGCTTTGTAAGACGTGCATACTTTCCTAGGACTCTGTTAGATTTTTATTAGTATGGGAAATTGATTGTCCCTGTTAATCATAAGCAGAATTAACCTAATGATAATCCCTAATGCAACTCAATGATCAAGTATAAAGTGACACTAAAATATAGGCTACTCTCTATGTGTAAAGTATGTTCAAATTTACTAAAAAATAAGCTTCTAAACTGTTAAAGACAGGTATCCTTGGATTTGCATACTTGTAGCTTAATGATGTAAATACTGGATCGATACATTCCAGTTTCCGGTAACTGTTAAGGTTTGTGTTATCGGGTCTGGTATTTCAATGAAATAAGTGTGCAAGCGCGTCTAATCTTCGACCCGTTTTAGAATATAACAATAAACCTTAAAAAATTAATATTTTACCTAAGTTATTCAGTTAACCATAATGGGTGTTGAGCCTGACATAAATGTGTAAAAGCTCCCATATCAAAACACTACAATAATATAAAACTGAAAGAGTTATAGTATGATTGATAACTAGATAAACTAAACGTGGTTCGGAAATAAGATGTGATGACATACTAAGACTCTAGCGGACTTGTAGCGAGTGAATGCGACTAGGAAGCTGTGCTTTGTTCTAGGTGATGTTACTCTGTCTCCAACTATCGCTTGAACGTTAACGATGTATTCTGTAACTACCAGCGTGGCTTAGTTCAGCAGCCAATGACTTCATGAATTGATACCACCTTTTGGTTAGACCCCCCCTAGTTTCCTTTGTACGTTGCGCGTCAAGGTGGGTGGTAGACAGATATATGTAACGCATTCCCTAACCACCTCAGCCATTGAAAATTCTCAGCCTAAGCAGCCGATACGCCATCTTTTCCTAGTGACCTCACACCTAACCTTCATATTGCAGACTCAAATGTCCTACGATTTACTAAAAGTGGTCTTTTAATTTCATAGAGCGTAGTTCAATACTCTGACCCCAACGGATTTTCCCTCTTTGTCTGATACTGTACTCTTAACCATGAATAGGAAGCTTACACAGTTCTTTCTAATAATTCAAAAATGCTATAACTAATTGTTTTCATCCGTAATCGTACCCATGATTATTTTTATATTTTTCAGCTATTTATCCAACGAATCAATCACTTTTAACTGCAATGGCTTCTAGACACCCCAGTGAATCATATCCATCTCATCCAGATATATTCGCACCATCTAGTCCATACATGACTGGTATATCTCAGCCATCATTCACGATTCCGTATAGTACTTCACCATCAATAATGGGTGGTAATGGTGGGAATCTTGTTGGCGTTCCTCAAATAGACCCAGGAAGTCCTCACCTTGCTACACTTTACCCTGGCATTTCTCCTTCTTTGTGTTTATCTCAACCTTTTCCTGTTGTTAGTTCGGAAATGGATGTAAAAGTTGCACCGATTAGACAACAACCACCGACATTGAATGAATTATTGGGATCATTGCGTTTGGGTTGTAAAACTGAAGATGTGGCGTCTGAGATCAACCAAACATTCTCAACTCTTACACATCATGGATTTCTGAATATGGCTGGGTCAGGACCATTTCCTCTTATATCACCTGCAGGTTCTCAACCAGCTAGTTATATAGCACCTCTTCTTGCTACGCATTTACCGTCACCAACTGCAGAAAGTAGACCAAGTGTAATTTTACCAGAAGGTAAATTTTGTATTCCTTAAATATCGACTTTCAAAAATCACTATCGCACAATTCTGTAAGATTTCTTTCGTATTGAATAATTTCCACGTTTTGATATCTACAGATAAGATGATAATCACAATTTTCTCCGTATTCTTATTTTTAACTTCTTTATTTGTGAATTTTGTATAGCTTTTTGATGAAGTACTCCTTCATAGGTTTAGACAACATATCCTTTGATGTATATTAGTATGAAAATATTTTTCTGCATTCATTTCTGAAGCAGTAAATTCTACCAACCACGAGAATTATATGTCTAAGGCTTATTCTTTTATAGGAACACTCGTGTACATGATTGGTACGTCCTCACTATGCTTGTACTTGAGTTCCTCGAAATACATAGCTTGTGAAATTGAGACAATGTATCATATATTTTTATTCAGGAATACGGTTCCTCTATTTGATAATAATCTTTTCAACTTTAACTGTGAGTTAACTTTGATTCTAAACGAATTCTGCTCTTTTAATGAAATGACCATTTCATTACATTTTATCAGATTCGTATCAGGTGTTTAAGACTCGTAGTATTTGTATGTTCAGTTATGGTAGAATGCATAATGCACTTCAGTGAATTTAAATTATTGGTCAGTTGGAAAAAAGGAAACTATTCATAAATAGAAGTTAATATATCTTCATTTACAATACAAATTCGGGTTTCAGCCTTTAATGTACTGAAGTTAAAATTGAGTTCATGTATTCAAAAGGAAGCAGTAATTATGGATGTACTACGTCAATAACTAATCACTATACTTTTTTGTTTTCGATTACACCATCTTTCATTTTTTCCCGGGAAGTATCACAGCCAACAGACAAATCAAATGACTTTTTTGGCGCATATGTATTCGGTGCCCCTTTGTACCAATATTTATGTGTTCAAATAAATAAATGAAATAAATACAAGTTTTTCACAATGGACATCATCTTTGATGTAATATGTAATCAGGGCAGCCAAACTGTGATTGTCTAATGAGTTATCGTTTTATTAGGTTAATCGATTTTCATCCAATCAACTTGATTAGCAAATGGTTATATATTTTAGTTATGTATATAGTAATTGGATGTTTATAAATAGTATTTTTTTTATGGAGCCTATGTCAGTTAGTTATGATTGAGTCAGGTATGTCTAAATCATTTTTATGTTGTGCTCAAAATCATATAATTATTCAATTAAGTCAATTCATAATCACTCTGTGGTTTCCATTATATTATCATAAGCGCTATTGATACCTCGTATGTTTTGTGTTGCTTATTAAACAAATGTAACATGATTTGATCAAATAGTTCGATAGACAATAACGGACAATCCAGACTCATTTTATCCAAATTATTTTATAAGCCAAAAAAGTTGGAGATTTGTAGCTTATGAGGAGAATTTCGGAGGTATTTTGCCGTGAAACTCATTCACTTTAAACAATATCAGCACCATAATTCAAAAGGAAATGACCTATTAGGACTTCCCTAAATATATTTCATCAATTGTTCTATCTATATTTAGTCACGAATAAACCATACACACATTCTGCTTGAATTGTTTGAATATTTAATATTGGGATATTGTAAGTTGTAAACTGATGATGCTAATCTGATTAGATGAAATGAATTTATATTGTTTTGCTCAATTCGTTACTCTTACTCTTCTTGGTTTGATCAACACGGTTTACTTCGGAAAATTCTTCTGTAGAAAGGAATCAATAGGAATTTGGGTAGTCTAGATGACAGTTTAATTCCCTACTGGTTCATTTCAATAGTACTCAAAGTTTGGTGCACATGGGCTCCAGTATTCTGCGGGAACAAATGGCGTATGAACCAATCGTTGGTCACCGGCTACCATGGGACTGCATCTCCTTACGATGCTTCACTGCCTTTAGGTCAAAGGCTCGGGGTGTGGCCCCCTAAGATAATCACCCGCTTCGGTCTGGGCACCCGGGCAGTATAGTATCACAAATATGATGAACTGCCTATAATTATGGAAACTACTTTACTTGCTTCAACTAACAATCAAATGATTACTATTATTATTATTAATTATTATTGCTATTATTATTATTATTATTATTACTATTATTATTATTTTATTATTATTATTATTACTATTATTATTATTATTATTTACCACATTATCCACCCTCTTTTATACTTATACAGCGGCTCGTCTTTAGTGGAAATTCGACTGTATCTAAACGTTCTCGAGTCACTGTCCGGTTGAAAATTGTATGTTACCACCGAATATGAGTACTGAAGCAGTTTTTCTGAAACTACGTGCACCATTCAAACTGGCTACCTTCAACGTTCACACGCTTATGCAGGTTGGACAACAGATAGGGCTGGCTATGTCTTTGGAAAGTCTTAATATCGATGTCTGCTGTCTATCCGAGACCCGTATTCAAGACTCTGGTGAAGTACTACAAATTCGCTCTTTATCTGTCACTTCAAAAAGCTTGTTTTACGTGCGCTTATCCGGGGACCCTGTGGCATCTTCGTCTGGTCTTGTTGGCGTTGGTGTCGCACTAAGCGCTAGAGCTGAGGCAGCACTAATCGATTGGATCCCCATTAACAGTCGGTTATGTGCTGTTAGATTAGAAAGTTCCATCAAAGTGAGAAGTCGGCGTGAGAAACGATGTCTTTTCGTCATCTCCGCCTATGCCCCGACAGATTGCAGCCCGGATGCAATCAAGGATGAGTTTTACCACCAGTTATCTGTTCTTCTCCAGAAAGTGCGTTCGACAGATATTGTAGTACTAGCCGGGGACTTGAATGCTCAGGTCGGGCGTCTAGGCACAGAAGAGAGTCGTTTAGGTGGCCGATGGGGACTCGTTGGTCGCAGGTCAGATAACGGGGACCGTCTACTGCAACTGTGCACAGACCACAACCTGTTTCTGGCTAGCACTAACTTCCGGCACAGTCATCGCCGATGTGCTACCTGGTGTCCTTCCTCTGCATCTCAAGCCTGGACTCAGATTGATCACATCGTGATCAGCTACCGCTGGCGTGGTTGTGTACAAGACTGCCACTCCTTTTGGAGTACCTATCTGGACTCTGACCATGCCTTGGTCTGCGCCAATCTTACCTTACTTTTCAGTGGCCAACGAAGTGACCGCCACCAACGGATCGATGTTAGCAAGCTGGTTGTAACTTCTGTTGCAAGTAAGTATCGAACCGAGCTAGCTTCTAGGCTAGCTACCATTCCACCGAAAAGTATGGATGAGCATTGGTTGCAATTGCATGACTCCATGAAAATGGCGGGAACAGTGGGTTTGCGAAACGTCCCGCTTTTAAGCACTGGGTTTCTTCTGGTTCCTTACAACTCATTGAAGCCCGTCGGTCTACTCCGGGTGACCGTGAGTTTGACCACAAACGAAGGATGTTACGTAAGGAAATTGGGCAAAGCTTGCTCAAGGACCAAGAAGCCTGGTGGTTGAAGCGTGCTAATGAGTTGGAGGTAACAGCTGCATCTGGTAACTACCGGAAGCTCTTCCAACTCATCCGAGCCACTGGCAGCAAGAAGTCTGGTGTGAGTGAAACAATCTGCGAGGATGATGGAATGCCAATCACTAACATCCATCGACGTCTTGGACGGTGGGCAGAATTTTTCGAAAGGCAGTTCAACTGGCCTGCTGCTCCGGCAACATCGGTCAGACTGTCCTGCCCTCCATGGTCGGTGACGACTGATCCACCAAATGAGGAGGAAGTCCGCAAGGAACTCCAACTCTTGAAACGTTACAAATCACCTGGCCCAGATGACTTACCTCCGGCTCTTTTTAAAGATGGTGGTGACTTTCTGACTAAGGAACTGGCGACGTTGTTTACAAAAGTCTGGGAGCTAGAGAGTGTACCGATGTCATGGAATGAGTCGATAGTTGTCCCTATCTTTAAAAAGGGTTCACGTCGTTCCTGTAACAACTATCGGGGGATAAGTCTACTTCCGATTGCGTCCAAGCTATTGGCTTCCGTCATACTTCGTAGGTTGTTCGAAACTCGAGAAAGATTGACTCGCGAGGAGCAGGCTGGGTTTCGTTCTGGTCGAGGATGTATTGATCATATCTTCACCCTCCGCCAAATGTTAGAACATCGCCATTCTTATCAAAGGCCAACGATCGTAGTGTTTCTTGACATCAGGGCTGCCTTCGATTCGTTGGACAGGACTGTTCTCTGGGATTGTCTGTTGAAGAAGGGTGTGCCTGAGAAGTTTATTAACATCCTAAAAGCCCTATATACAAACACCTCAGGCAGAGTGAGGGCATACAACCACCTCTCTCCGTTGTTCCATTCGAGCAGTGGGGTTAGGCAGGGTTGCCCAATCTCACCATTTCTCTTCAGCTTTGCCATCGATGACATTCTGGAAACAGCTCTGATGAATGTAAGTAATGGTGGTGTGGATCTGTTGCCTGGAGAAAGACTTCTTGACCTTGAGTATGCGGACGATATTGTCTTACTGTGCGATAATGCCCAAGGCATGCAATCCGCACTTAATCAGTTGGCAATCAGTGTCCGTAGGTATGGTATGTGCTTTGCACCTTCGAAGTGCAAAGTACTTCTACAAGACTGGCAGGATTCCAATCCTGTACTCACCCTGGACGGTGAACAGATAGAAGTAGTCGAGGAGTTCGTGTATCTGGGTAGTTGCATAAGTGCTGGTGGGGGTGTGAGTGATGAGATCAATGCACGAACAGTGAAAGCCAGAGCGGCTTATGCCAATCTGGGCCACCTTTGGCGCCTTCGTGATGTTAGTCTGGCTGTAAAAGGTCGAATCTACAACGCGTCGGTGAGAGCAGTTCTGCTCTATGCTTGTGAAACCTGGTCTCTCCGAGTTGAGGACGTTAGACGACTCTCTGTGTTCGATCATTGCTGTCTCCGAAGGATTGCTGACATTCAGTGGCAACACCATGTCAGTAATGCAGAGGTTCGGCATCGTGTGTTCGGGCACAGAGATGATAATGCAATTGGTGTCACCATCTTGAAACACCGACTTCGGTGGCTTGGACATGTTCTCCGAATGTCGTCCCAGAGAATTCCACGTCGTGCATTATTTGCCGACTCTGGGACTGGTTGGAAAAAGCGGAGAGGTGGTCAGTGCATGACATGGTGTCGTGGCATGAAAGAAAGCTGCAAAGGACTGGCTTCTGTCGGTCCTTCACGACTCCCTGGTTGGGGTCCGAGAGATGGTGCTACACAGTGGCTAGAGACGTTATCAGATATGGCTCAGAATAGAAGCCAGTGGCGATCCTGCTGTCAGTCAGTCAGTCAGCTACAACGTAGGACCAAGCACATGTACATCGGTCCAGGTTGCCATACCGCATCAGTACAACAAGATGAACACTGGATTCATAGCAGTGGTTAGGTCAAAGGTGGTAACCTTCTTTTACTTTCTTCATAAAAAGTGGTTGTGTCTCCCTTAACTGAAAGATTTCTTCTAGGTGTACCTTTCCGTTCCCTCATTATTACTACACTACTTTACACCAATCTCTTCGTTATTGTTCTCTTTTTCCTCTCTTCGAATTCTCATTGTTTTGTGTGGCGCATATATATTGGCGCTCTCTTGTACCAATATTTAACTTTTCAAATAAATAAATAAATAACTCAAAGTTTTATTATGTTAGTTCTTAACACTTACGAGCGTTTCTGCTCATACATAAGTTTAGTACAGTTATTGAGTTATACTGTAAGCAAACACTTGGAATTATCCTTGTCAAATTTTTAACTTCATTCATTTGCTCAGATAATTCGACCAACTGGTTTGTTGGAGTGCGTTCATCTACTGTTCCGGATACTAGTTTCATGAGAACTTCCAAACATACACCTTCACATTCAGAATCTACTAATGTTTATTCACATAATCAAAGTTTGGGTGTTCCTGCAAAACAAAATCAATCATATTCAGAGTTAGTCTCAGGCCATGAACATCATCCTGATCAATCGTTATGTTCACAGTCCTCTGGGTGTATTCCTACTAAAGAAGAAAACGTAATACACACATTCCCTTCCAAATCACTTGATGCACCGTTTTGTGAATTCAGTGTGTCATCATCAGCCACTGTTGATGTTGGTATGTTTTTATATGTGCACAATTTGAAATATTTTTAGTGTTTTCAAAATATTTAATTGGTTGTTCCGGTTTCGAACTAACTGGATAATGAATCCAGTTCCGAAGAAAATTGTAATAGACATTGCTTACTTCAATAGCAGGTTTTAGAATTTTATGGAAAGTGCTATGCAAGCTTGGTAGTTGTTAAGTCTTGATGGACTTATCCGACAACTTCCTGATCACCAGGTTTTTCAGCCTTCGTGAAAAGAATTGTAAGTGCGATACTGTACGCTGAATATCCCGGACTAAGGTTGACAGTTGTTAATATGGGGGGGGAATGCACACAACTTCAGTATTTATAAAGAGGGCTTCTCGATAAGATGTGTTTGCCACTCATGGCATCCTGTTAGTGCAGTTATTGGTGTCTGATACACCCATTTTACCAGTAGCTAATTGCAGTATAACCCATTTCAGTCCAAGCTTGATTTGCACATGATGTGCGGATTTTGAATCAGGTTTATACCAAATATATTGGACTATAATAAGTTATAATCCATTGAAATCTGCATAGAATTGTCTCAATTTCGTGACAAACCTTCCTGTCTACTATCATGTCCCATTTTTGAACTATTTTTTGTAGATTCTTACCACAATTAACCCTATTATTCCCACCCCGTAGTCTCTTGCCTTGACCTTTGTGTAGTGATATGAGGTTGTAACAATTCTTACTGCTTCATATATATACCTGACTCTGTTTTATCATCATTGGAAATGTATTCAATAGACGTTTGTTAAAATTTGTTTGTATTGACTGCATTTTACCTAAAATCTTTTTAGGTGGCGACCCCGTGGCATCTACCACTCTTACTGAAGTTAGTAAAAAACAATCTCTATCCAGTTCTAAAGACATTGTTTGTTGTTGTAGTTGTCCTGTTGTTGGTGATAGCCCATCCAGTATCCATACAACTTCAAGTCCTTCATTGGGATCATGTACTTGTTCGAGTAAATTAAATTTCAATGATTCATCAACAGGATGTCAGCAACCAGAACCTGTAATAACTGATTCTCCCTCAACCAAAAGTAATATTCCACAAGGAAGCAAAATGTCTTCCGGTAATGAACAAAATACATCACCGTCACATCAAATTAAAACGGATAGTTAATCATATCGTAGTGTCATGACCAAATGCATCTAGTGAATTAGCTAGCTAATTTGGTAAGTATCACTTTGTTCTTGTCACTAGTATTTAGTGATATGGTTAGAGTTAAGTACGTCTTTGTTACCAGTTGTGTATATATTGATTTGGTAACTGTTCTACAATTTCTTTATGAGGTTGACTCTATTAACATGTAGGTAGTGGCAGATTGTTTGGATGTAGTTCAAATAAATTTTGTTCAGTACAGGTATATTTTTTTACTGTATTTAGTATTCCAGTCGGTGTTCATTTTCAAGTCAAAATACAAATTTCCAATTATGTTTAGGCATGAGCATAGTGATGTTCTTTTTAAGAAAGTTAATAATCAGTTAATAGGGAGGTTTGTTATTCTGAAGAGATTAATCACCTATTTGGTTACTATTCTGATAGTAACTTTTAGAAGTACATAATAAAGAGGAGCTCATTTTCTACAATAACATAATATTGGCTAAAAATCTATGGAAATCAAAGAAAAGCAAGAATTACTCATGTTTTATCGGAGTAGCATTTCATCACAACATAAAACTACGCAGTTGTTTATAATAGAATAGCATACTAAGTAAACTCTGTACTTTTTTGATGTACCAGCATTCATTTAAAGTTTAAATCTTTTCAAGTAAATAAAACAGATTTTCCACTGTTGCTTTACTAAATGGTTTATTACCAGTATTTCTAAATTGTCTTTTTTTCTAATTTCATCTGAAGCTTGACGTACCTTTAAAATAGTATACACAATTGGGGTAATCTGCAAATTATATGGACAACTCGCTCAGACACTTGTTTTGTATCGATGATTATCTTTGCAGAATAATCAGAAATTAAATTTGACGATATACGAATATAGTTTTTGGATGTTGAAGTTATGAATGTATTGTACTATATACAGTAGTCTTCGATTGTCAAGTGCTATCGGCAGAGATATTGTCACAATTTTATATCATACTTCCCCGCTCACTTGTTGCAGATCGTAGCCTCAAATAAAAACTTGGAAAATTGTTTACAGATTGAAAGATGTGAGCCCTAATACATCCCGTTTTACTCCTCTGCTTAATGTATGCATATTTATATATCCTGTATACAAGTTCGGTTTTATCTTCAACTTAATATCGCATAGATACTTCGCCCGGTGTCTTCGAAATCCTTGTATCCTGATTTCTCTATTTTTGTGTCCATACTTTCCCAGCACGTATCTTATGTACAGATAACTTTTGTTCTCTAAACATTATTCGGACAAAATTTTATCGTTGCCCAAACTCTTCACTACGTACGTTCACGCCACTAGAGCAATGGAAAAGATAATGATTCTAGATGATTTTTGTAAATTAAAACCAGATCTATCTTTTATTTGTCTCATTCGTTTTTCTTCTAGTAGAAATATCTTACGTTTTTTGACAATTACTATCTACCGAGGTTAGTTTCATCACCAATACTTCTGTCTAGGTTATTTTTAACTAGTTGTTGTGAAATGTACCATGCGCGAATGCTTAGAATAACTATTTCTGTGATTGATTAGTTATATTCCAATTTTTAGACAGAAAGTTCTAGTGGCCTTAACTTCGTGCATCATAAATTGTTTTACGAGAGCCAGGGCTTTCCTGATGAATATTTTGGGCAGATTTGTTGTTCGTATATAGTAGCTTATTAATAGAAATTCCTGAATTCGTTTGTGGATCTATGTATGATAATTGTTTAGTTAATATTTGCCGTTATGTCTTTATCAAGTTATCGCTTTTCCTCTCCCTTCTAAGTTTATTTATCAGCGCCTCGCGTCGCTAGTCCGTGTTATGTATCTTTCATTTCCGATTTATTGCATTTTGTTTTGATTAGTGTAACGGATTTTTGTGATAAGCATATGTATCAATTTCTTGGAAATCTTTTTTTCGCCATGAAGAATAAATATATCAACTATCTTATAATCTTAGTAACCAACATTACTACTGATAATAATTCATTTTCTCATTATTTATATTTACAAATATCTCAATTATGTTATTTTTTTCTTTAAAGATTTGATTGAAGAGATTTACTTAATTTTACCACACACAAAAGCATCGCAGCAATAATTATTCTTTCGTCGTGGTTCATTCTGTTAACTTACTGTATTAGCTGCTTCGTACCTCGCAGCTCATTTCCTCGTTTCTGTAGAAAAGTAACTTATTTTCCTACTTATTTAAATGTACGCATACAGATCAACTACTTAAGTTATTATTAAGACAATTTGTTTTAAGATAATATTACTTTGTTGTCAGTTCTTATGTATAACAAAGAATATGTGTAGTTTATAAGCCTAACATACTTCTTTGTATTTTGACTTTGTCACAACCCTTTGTTATTAACAAACTTATGGGTAAAAGGGACATGTATATCACACAATAGAATGTTGCCTTTTTTTTGTGTTCTTACTGTGTATATTGAACACTGCTTCACCTTTCTTTCCGCTCAGGCTATTTTTACTCTAGATTGTGGTATTTTTGTGCCTAGGGAATTGTTTCATTTATCATCTTCTGGCTGTGAATTAATCAAGCGCCCTAATGTACGTCTGTTATAAAGATAAATATAGATAGATCAGTATTTCCTTAATTTATATTAGGAACAACGTCGTACATATTTTACTCAAACTTTTACAACATACTGTTTTATTTGAAAAAAGACTTTTAAACTATACACTTCTTGAAGAAGTACACCGTGCCTAAGTTTTTTCAATTATTAGTGGGCATTAATACTAGTTGATTAATATTGAAGTAAGTCAAATGTTTAACACAAATACCTGATACAAATCTTTTATGAGTACTGTACCCAGCGATCATCAAGCAAAACTATTTTTGGGCGACTAGTTATCCTACTATTTCCTTATTCACATTACCTAACGCGAAAGTTGACTGACAACAATGAGTTTCATTCCTTTTTGCAAAACTAGAAATTCAATAATCGGTTGACTATTCGAATAAAGTTGCCATAAAACTGACACAAGCATGCATGTGTATGCCATAGTTTGCACCACGTACGTATGTAGGTTTGGTATTAATAACCTGGTAGATCAAGGACGTTTTAACGTAGAAAAACGTTGAACTTTCCTTTGCATTTGTAATTATACATTCAACGCATACAGTTGTTGCAATATGCGACGCATGAGGATATTGAACATTTGCTTAGTCCTCACCTTGTTTAACGAGTGCTGTGTTGATGAAATAACTCGGTACACATAAATAGTAAGGTAATTGAAAGCAAATTAACACAAAAGCTTGATTTTTTAAGTAAATACAAATGAAAATGCAGAATTATTTCCACATCTGCACACACAACTTTAATTATTCTGACATTTTGGTTGATGTTCTTGGTTCGACTAAGTGCTTCCATTTTTCAGAAACTTTCATACGACCCCATAAATTTTTCATTTGTCTGATCTCATTTTCACTTAACATGGGTTTGGTCACATTCTTTTGGAGTGAATTCATCATTTGACAAATATCGGTACTCGTCAGGGTTTCTGGGATAGTTAATTGTACCATGTCATCCGGGTTGAAAATAACTATGATGGAGGAAATCTGATAAGGAACTATGTCGTCAGCTTAAATAATATATTTTATCTTACAGTAGTTTGGATAGATTTATGTAACTACACGTGCTACCAAGGCTACAACTTAACTAGAACACGAAATCTTTATAAGATCTATATGAAAAGCAGTTGTAAGAAATGTAAAAGGATACAAGCTGTGATGGAGTCTTGATTAATGGTGAACTTCGTCTTCGTGAATTTTTCGTAGACCGATAATTTCGCCCTTAAAGAAAAATAATTGGGCGCGATTATTAGATACTCACAAACATCGAGGATAGGCAGAATGGAACTCATTTTAATGCATATGGGGCTATTCAATTAATATTGCTTGGGAGATTCACAGTAGTAGTGTGTCAGTAATTCACAAACATCCGTTTATGCCTGGAGTTCGAACTATGTGAGACTGTTTAGTTTGAGTACTTATATAGTTTATTGCATCAGGAATAATTCAATTTCCAATATATAGGTACAATTTAAGAGATATTCTTATTTCACATCTGGCATAACGTTTGGTCAAGAAGAATGCCAAAATTTTGCTATTGCTACTAGTCGAGTCCTATTTTCTTGTACAGATGTCACCAAGATTTTGCTTAGAATCAAGAATGTGACTTAGCAGTAAATAAACTTTGATTATACAGAGATGTTGTTTTCAGACATTATTGTAATCGGTTCCTGTATGTAAAAAAGGCACAAAAACTGTACGACTTAAGCCTAAAGGGAGCAAGTCTATAGAAAAATGGGGGATGAATATAATTACCATAGACTAATAATGTTTTGAGGAACTACTGATTAGCACGCCTGCAATTCCCTACACTGCTCAAAACGATAGTTTATGAAATAACAGATTTAGAAGCCTCATAAAGCGTGTTATAGTGTAGTCAACAAAACATGATAGACATTGTATCGATAGGAACAATCTAATCAGCTTTGTCGGCAGCCCAAAGTCTCTTGTGTTGTTCAAATTTAACTGAAGCCAAAAGTTACTGTACTTATTAGACAGATCCACATTGACGGTTTGAGGGAATCTGAAGTGTGCATTCGAAAGCCCGCGAAGGAAACAACATGCAGATGAAACTAACCTCCGTTTGCTCTGATGCTCAATAGCTTTGAAATAAATAGTTGAGTTCACGATTATTGGGCTTCAATCATGTCCAACGCAAAGCTAACCGACTAACTCGAATTGTTGCGCTATTATCTTCCTACCACCGGACACTAAGAGTACCTCGGAAAGTCGTTTACCTGCTAAAATTTGACGCGAAACCACGTTGGACGGATACTGATTATGGTGGATCTTATGTCATAATATGGAAACGTTACTAATAAAACAAAATATGAGACTAATTACTTAGCAGTTTTCAGTTTTAAGTGGTGTTCTTTTTTGGCAATTTCCTTTTCAGATAAGTCTGCATTATATCGGGCTACACTCCGCTCAAGCTTTTGTGATAATTGCTCACAATCTCGTTTTAATTCTTCATCTTCGAAACGCACATTATCTAATATGGCTTCAGCAGTGGTGATAGCTAATTGTAGATCCATCTGAGAAAGATCGATGGGTAAATGGTCTAAACGAAATAAGATAGAATTAGGAATACGGTTGAGAATGATACCAGAACGTAAAGCTATTACAAATATCGAACGACTCGAATAACCAGATTACAATCAGCATCGCTAAATTAAATTAAAAAGGTTGAACAGTATGGAAGTTTGCAAACAGCTAGTGTTAGTGAAAATAGCGAAAACGCGAGCAATCAAAGTTACGAAATAGCATTTGATTTCTGGATTTAAATGGTGATGATCAAATAACATTTTGACACAACTACAATCGTCATTTAGCATATCATCCAAGACCGTTAACTATAGTATATGGAGCGTAAGTTTTACTGTGACCACTTTTATAAAAACCGAAATCGGCTACTCATTTGTTAAGGCAGAATGAAGAAACGTGAATATGCACTACGTGCATAAATTCCAATTAAAAATATGACAGGAAACTTGGTTTCATTTGTACCATAGGAAAGAGTTTAGAGTTACTTTTTTAATTCGATAAATGAATATGACCCAATTCTGTTACGGTTATTTTAGTACCTGTATATGAGGCTTAATCGCTGAACCATCGGAAGATGACAAACAGTCATAGATGATGTTACATAAACATCCTGCAATATCAAACTCTATAATGTCTAAAAGTACAGTTGTTGGACGTTTATTCAAAAGTGCCTTGTTATTATCTCCAAGGAACTCGAACAGAAGGGGATTAAACATACAAGATCCTGATAAATTCTAACCCCTTAAGCCCTCCATGGATCTTAGAAGTTAATAAAAAATATTAGTTTCCTGACAGCTGATTGTAGTACTGACAAATTTATAGTAAGTAGATCGTGTTGTGTCAATTTTTTGGTGCTTGATTAGTTTTTATCATTCAGAAGAATAACTTCTGAACATAGTCCTAACATGACTGGAAATAGAAATTGGTGTAAAACGTGATGACCCAAAAAGTAAGAATTAAAATGTTTGTTCATAAATTCAAAATGCTTACCAGCATTCAAAAAGTCATCTAACTGACTGACGGGATTCAGTCTTAAAGATAACGAATCATTTAAATATTTTTCTTTAATATTCTTGATGGCGCCAACCTGTTCACTTAAACTGACCATTTCTTGTAGTTTGGGCTCGAGCACGGTAGTTTAAACAACACGTAAGACCAGCAGATAAGCAAACTGGACGGATGAAACTGAAGTGGTGATGTATCCATCAGCAACAAAGTATAAATTTTACATGAAAAATACTTATAATTGCCTTTTAAAAGAAAAAATTAGTGGATAAGAACTAAACAAATATTTAACAGATGACAGGACCGAAAATATTTTGGACTATCAGCTGATGAACTAGCAGTTCTACCGAACCAGACCTTGATTCATGCTGCTGAGTTGTGTGTAATCTCCTATTCCTGCCACATTATTTGTGAGGAGATTGAGACTTGTCTTTCCAAACCGAAATACGTGGTAAGAGGTTGAGCACATGATTTGCTATTTGGAATTCCAAAGCCCTAGACACTCATCTATTGCCGAGGTCACATGGGCATGGTAATGTCATCGATAACAGATATTCCCACTATTTGATGGAGTGTCAGTTACCGACAACTGAGTGTGAAAAAGCTTTTGGACCTGCTGTATGATGCCAGCTTCTTTCGAAACACACAAAGTGTTAATAGAATGTAAGCACTGCTTTTTGTGTGCTATCAGCAACATTGATTGTCTTACAGAGATCTAGATTTTTGAACAGCTCATGTAATACAAGAGATAATTTGTGTATATACTTAAGGTCGAGAGGACTCTACAGGTAAAGCATTCGCAATCTCACTTGTTAGTTCTTTCACAGCTTCGTTAAATTTTGCTGGTAGTAAAAATGAACAAGGATAGTCGGATTGAATAACTTTACTTACCGTCATTGGCGGCTTTGGTGTTATAAAGCCTAGTAACCTTATACTCCCATCGTTTTCCGATGGTTTACTCATAGACATTTTAAGATTTTAATTTAAAAATTCTCAATTGAGAGTATTCGTCTCCCGATTTTTAACTACAACCATACAGAAACCAAGGAATGAAACATCAAATGTAAAGCCATAACGTATTAGGTGAATTAAAACAGTAGGAGTATTTATATAAGCCACCGACGACAAGTTAAAATGATACAACGGTACAAGCAAATTACATTATACGAACTATTTCGAATCTGTCACAAAATAGCAAATAGTATATATCGTCTGTTTCAAACAAGGAGAAATGTGAGACAGTTTACAAATTTTCGGATATTTAGTAATACTTTTCTTGTTAGTTCGAGTACACTACATTCCATTACTATCATTTATCTGTACAATTATAATTTTTCGTTCTTGTTCGTCGATTGCAGGAACATCTGAAATATTTTAATGTGGATCTCCGTGTAGCGGTAAATAAATCCTCAAAATAAATAGCTCTTTTAGTCTTCGACATTGGATGCTGGCCACGTTCGTTTTAATGTACTCACCTAGCTGAAGGAGCTCAGTCATTCATCCGCACAAGATCACGAGTGGGAACGCTGTGTCCAACATCCCCTTCAATCAGTCGATCTTCGACATATTGATATCCTGTGATTTATATCTTCGGACCTCCTCGCTTCTGACTTTTGATTTCAACAAGTGGGTACGATTCATATCAGGTGTTACTGGTTAAAGCGTTGTCAAACTCCAAATACCTGTGGCTGAGCCGAATGTTTTACAGTTTTTCAAAATTGTTATTCACTGTTTTCATGTCTTCTCCCAATTCTTCTTTCGGCTCCTTAACTTGTTGCATTGAGTATCTGTAGGATTATGGTCTCGGTTGGTTCTAAGTGCTGTAGTCGGATTGGGATTACCAATTGTAGCGTGGCGTCGAGTTGAGATTAACTATGAACACCGCTACCAAGAAACACGTGCCAATTAGATCAGAAGGCGTAAGAAGCTCGTTCCAAATGACTCCATAAAATCCCCGAGAAGCCGAATACCAGAAGGCAATTAATGGACCAAGTCGATGTTTATTTGCTGGCGATCTCGTGGCATCGAAAGGATACCGAGATCGTGCCAGGATACAAGCTTGGTTACAGAACGTAACCGAATCCGCGCGAAGTTACAATCAAAGTGTGAGTAAAAGAATGGAAGAACAAAATAGCTGTCATTAGCACAGTCAAACAAAAGCACGTTAAAACAAACACTGGTACAGTTGGTTATAATAATAATTGTTTTTATTAAACCAGTCGTGTTCTCGTGATAAACGTGAGTCACTACAGGAGCCCCCCGCTAGAAAGGGTTTACACTTTCGATAAAAAGCGGTTTGAATCGTGGGACTGATCGGCTGACGAGCGATTGTAGGACGGAAGAATTGGCGAACAGGAAAGCGATCGTTGATCGTCGAGTTGCCAACGAAGGTCGTTTTCGGAGAACAGTACCAGGAGCGATGTGTTGTATTGATTGCTCGAGTTGGCATGCTACCAGAGTGGTTTGTATCCAGAATCTGAAGAGGGCGTTCGTACGGGTCCGGACCATAAACGCTGCAGACGAAGGACGAAACCACGTTGAGCCAAAAGACCAGAAGCAACCATAACGACCAAGTTCGAGACCAAGCGTATGCCAAGCATACGAAACCAATATATCGACTGAGTACGTTGACAAGAGCGTGGGTGATCAGGCCAGCTTTCGCCAAAGTTGACTGAAGTCGACGGAACCAAACGGAGATGGTCGAAGGCGTGGGCTCAGGAAACAAAAAGAAAATCAAAAAAGAAGAGTGTAGCATGCAAGTAGCATAGGAATAATCCTACACCGTATCGGTTGTTGACTGTGCGACTATTCGCGGAAGCGTACGGGTAACCGTACTCGGCGACCGGAACGTGAGATGGCAGTCTCGTTCGCGTCGCGTGAGCCTGCAATCTCATCCGAGGTCAGAGGCGGCGTGGTCTGCTGATCTGAACGTGAGACTATCGTCTCGTCCGTAGACGGTGCAGATGACGCGTGCTGTTGACCGGGACGTGAGAATGAGGTCTCAGATGCATCTAGCGTGGGACCTGAAGAAGATTTAAGGATCCCGCTAGGTTTAATAGGTCTAGCATTGAATCTCAGGTTACCAGATAGGGCACTGTCATCGACGTGTGCTGGTTTGAGACGATCAACGCTGACGATCTCGACGCGTCCATATCGATCAACCTTGAAGGTCTTTTCGTGACGAGCGATCACGTGAAAAGGGCCTTCGTAGGGTTGTTGCCAAGGTTTGCGTACCGAATCTACTCGTACAAAAACATGTGAACAGGTAGATAACTCTCGAGGGAGAGCGACCTGTCGATGTTGTATTCGAGTTGACACCGGAGACAGCGTTCGCATAAATACAGACAGTCGACGGACGTTGTCTGATTTACCGAAATTAGGTCTGCTCCGTGGTGTGAAGGATTCTCCGGGCAGACGCAATGTCGTGCCGTATACCATTTCAGCGGCGGAACATTGTATATCTGCCTTTAAGCTCGTTCTCACCCCTAAAAGAACGAGCGGTAAGGTTTCGTGCCAGTTGCCGTTTTCGTGTGCTCGTAGAACACTTTTAAGTTGGCAGTGAAACCGTTCAACTTAACCATTTGGTGCTGGATGGTAGACGGATATGCTTATGCGTATGCATTCCGTACCAAGCAGCCGGGTCAGCGAGGAGAATCGGTAATAGGGTAACATTTCTCGAATAAAGCTTGGAATTCATCATCACGCGAATAAAAAGTGACAAGGATTCGGTACACATACGTGTGAGTCTATTACATTAATACTATTCTTATCGCTATCCGTCATGTCGCGTATATTATATATTAAAAAATATGAAAATATACGACAGACGTGGATAGATAAATCATAGACTCACCGAATTGGCTTCTTTGGAAGATTTGGTCAGAAGTTGAGGCGTGTTCCAAAATACGGGTCACCAATTGTAGTCGGATTGGGATTACCAATTGTAGCGTGGCGTCGAGTTGAGATTAACTATGAACACCGCTACCAAGAAACACGTGCCAATTAGATCAGAAGGCGTAAGAAGCTCGTTCCAAATGACTCCATAAAATCCCCGAGAAGCCGAATACCAGAAGGCAATTAATGGACCAAGTCGATGTTTATTTGCTGGCGATCTCGTGGCATCGAAAGGATACCGAGATCGTGCCAGGATACAAGCTTGGTTACAGAACGTAACCGAATCCGCGCGAAGTTACAATCAAAGTGTGAGTAAAAGAATGGAAGAACAAAATAGCTGTCATTAGCACAGTCAAACAAAAGCACGTTAAAACAAACACTGGTACAGTTGGTTATAATAATAATTGTTTTTATTAAACCAGTCGTGTTCTCGTGATAAACGTGAGTCACTACAGTGCGTTTATTTGTGATATTAGAATAAAAGACCTGTAGTGGTAAGTAAATCCCTAAAATCAATAGCTCTGGAAGTCATCGAAATTTAGTGCTGGCCGCGTTAGTTTCACCTATTCTAAAGCACTTGGTTGCTCATCCACACCAGATCACGTGTGAGTACGCCGAGCTTCGCATCTCCTACAACCGCTAGCCAGATAAGATTGACCACTTCACAATATATCGTGGCCTGTCATGTATATCTTCAAAACAGTTTTCTTCTGATTTGATTTGACTGTAATGGCATATTTTGATTACAAAAAGTGTTACTGGTTAAGATGTTGTCAAACTTTGAATACTTGTAGCATCTTTAGTGGTTAGCATGCCGTGGCCTGTGAGTCTGTTCCTTTTTGGAATTTTATATGCCATACTTTTGCAGCAACTTTCTGTACTGTCCTAATTTTTTTTTCATATATTTGAAGGTTTTAGGTTCCCGTTCATTTTCTTACTTTATATTCAGTGTAAACGAACACATTCCTAAACTACTTGAGATCAAGACTTTTTCGCCACCCGCGTTCCACTCAATATCATTTTGGTCCAAAAACATCGGAGCCTGGTTCTGTTACGCAGGGGCTGACTTACACGAGCGTGGCGTTGTAATAGCTTAGGTTGACCTCAAACAACTAAGCATATGCCAAAACAATATAGTTCAAGTATTCATTCACTTCCTTATTTTGTATAGGCGTTGTATTTCCCATTATCTTATATTGGATGTTGAGAAGCTTTGTTTGTCTGAACAAATAATCCCACGCCCCACTATGGCTGCGCGATCTAAATAAAGATCTATTCACTACTTGTCTGGTTTTTTCTATCAATAGCACGACGGTTACATAGAGGCACGAAACTGGTGAGCCCTATTAAACACCAATTTAACCTCATTTTTCTTATTAATATTGTTTTTTTACTTAGTCGTAAAAGTAGACCTTCTGATTATCCGTAAACTAAGATGGGTATATACATAGTTTTTCCTTCTTAGGCTCTTAGTGTTGTAGTAACTATTTTTCGTGCTAAATTCATTACTATATTGGTCACATACTTCATTTCAGACTCAATACAAACCAAAAACCTGGAGGATTTTTCACCAGTTGAGATGGACACTGTTATGACTACGAAATACCGGCTTTCAGAATTTGATCGTAGTGATCCTGAGTTGTGGTTTGCTCAACTAGAGCATTATTTCACGAGACACAATATCAAATCTGAAGGAATTCACTATAGAGACTTGTGGTCTATCCTTCCTCCTTCAGTCGCCAAAGAAGACCGTGACTTGATTTTAAGTCCACCATCGCCACAATCATACAGCACTTAAGACGAGAGATAATGAACCGTTTATCATTATCAGACAGTCAAAAATCCAAAGACTTTTCCAAGGAGAAACATCAGGTGATAGGTCGCCGTCAGAGTTTTTACGTCACCTTCAATTCTTAGTGGGTGATAACACAGTGGGTGAAGCAGTCCTAAAACAAGGATGGATACAAGCTCTCCCATGCTACGTCCAACACTGTTTGAGTGCACAAGATCCTGAAACCTCCTTATCTCATTTAGCGCGTATAGCCAATAGAATAATGGAAAGAGGTCCTCTAACTGGATCACGCACGATAAATCACACACAAGAGGAAGAACCAGCAAAAGACCCGCTCACAGAAGGACTCATTGCGAGTGTTAAAAATCTCACTGAGGCTGTCGCCAGAATGCAAATGGGTCATAGAGACAGGAGTAGGTCACCACATCGATCAAGATCCAAGTCACCAAACGGGTCACAAATGTCCAGACGATCTGAGCAGTTCTGTTGGTATCACTGGAAGTTTGGCGTCAACTCAAC